CAGGATTTTCGCCGGATGGGCTCGGCTGTACGAGTACACGGCTGTTAAGTCGAAATGAAAGGGACGAGTGCCTCAGTGGGGGCAAGTGAATACGCAGCAAACACCAACAGCAAAGCTAGTATATCACAAAGTCAAAAGTCTCTCTCTTTCTTTCTTTCTTTCTGCAGGGCATAGGGGTCGGTTGGCCCGACCCTCAGGCCTTTGGCCCGCCCTACCACCCATTGTGTTACTCTCTCTCTCTCTTTCTCTCTCTCTCTCTCTCTCCCGAGCATACGGGCGGCATCACGAGGGACTGTTCAGGTTCCCTGGGAGTCCACCCGCTCTGTCTCCGTCGCTCTCAATTCGCTTGCTTCGAGCCTTGGGAAATGGCAGGGCGGGTGCTTTCTCCCGATGCCTGTAACTGATGTCTTGTATGTAGCCAGCATGTGCACCCCAAACCCTGCATCTGAGCAGACGCGCCTTGCTGAAAGCCGCTTCATCAGCTCTTGGAACTTTGCTGGATCTTCTTCGCAAACAGTGTCCATGGCCAAAGTTCTGTACTCAACATCTGGCCGAGCCTTTTCCATTTCGTCTTTCGTCCAAATGCCGCGTTTGCCAATCTCTATAAAAGTGCCTCCTGCTCCTACAAAAGCTAGGGATCGCCCGATGAAGTTGTCGTGACCTCCGCTAAGCATCCAGACCGTCCATGTTCAGGTTTTAGGGGGACTCGATCTTAATCAATATTCTACGTACAGCAACTGAACTCGCCCAAGGTTCTGAGACTGTTCAGGACCACATCGATCGTTGCAGAATTTTCCTTTGCAAGCGCTCTGGCCAGTTCTTCCTCGAACTTGCTGCCGTCCCTCGAACTTGCGACCTGTCACTTGCGACGGTCGCTGCCCGAAACAACAGGTCTTAGGAGAAACAGAGCTTGCTATCGCATCACGAACCGCAGCGGGGCCACACATGTCACACCCATTCGACGAAGCAGGCTCCGCTTGTCCTGCCCATACGATTGTGCCAGTGGACCAGTCCGGATCATGCAAGAAAACGGGAGGGCCAGCATTGACAAAAACAAAACGAAGCGCCGCCTCCTTCCCGGCTGTCGCGTAAACCAGGGCACCAAGCCGCAATGCATATTGTACAGCTGTAAGTCCAACACCGCCTGCAGCCACATCTGACATTCTGATTAGGGTCCGGGCTCTCTAGTCTCGCCTGCCCCAGCATGGATGAGAACGCGCTGTCCAGCCTTCAACGAAGGCTCTCAGGTCAACTGACTCAGGACAGTGCTGTTGGTTCATAAACTCTGTCATTACAAGTGTTGGAATGGGGCGACTGGAACATCTGGTCCAGCATCGTGATGGTGATTGTGCTGCTGCTGCTGTGCCAACATCTACTTAGTTTCGGTGATGACCCCAATGGCTTCGCTTGCCTCGGTCTGAGATTCGGCTTCCAAGGCTTTGCCAGAGGCATGCTTATGCATGCTTGAGAAGCAGATTGAGGGTGACAGAGGGGTCCAAGAATCTCTACAGCAAACCACGGCAGCCACAATTCCCGGACTGACCGGACCTTGAGGCCGGCCCTCCGGCCTGGAGGTCACGGAGAGCCAGGTCGACGGTGGTAAACACGGTTGGCAGGGCGGCCGCTTCCACGTGGGACCAGCTGACCGGACGCTCCACAAGCAGCCTCGGCTCCTCACAGAAGGGATGGGTTTAGGGAACCTCCGAAACTGCCTGCTCTTGCTTGGTTCCGGTCCTTGACAGTCGCAAAGGTTCGCAAGCAGCCAAATGAGATGCCGAAAAGCCTTGTTCCAGGCAAGGCCAATGCATCAGGGCCATCATCAAATGCAATGCCGCTGCAGTCCAGGCCAGGATCGCCTGCAAAGTGCTGAGGCAGTCGCCGAGTCGCCGTGCATGCGTGGCATGAACCCTGTGACCCTCTGCACCACGGAAAGTAAGAGGAATGCCTCCCGCAATGAGCTTCAAGATCATGACCGACCGGACCAACCTCCAACCCTGCTACAAAGCAGCACCATTGATAAGTGCTTCCCGGCTTGGACCTTAATCCCAAGCCCGGCAACCTTGGAAGGATATGAGCTCATATTATGCAGGCTGAACATAGTTCAAGCGGACTCAACCCACTTGAAGCTCATTGCACGCATGGCCGCTTTTGTCACAGCTGTGCAAGCTAGTGCACCTGTCGTTCAAATCGGCCGAAACTCATGCCAACTGGAACGAAATAGCAAGACACGCGTCGGGAAGAGCAGGAATAGAACCGGAAAGGTTCAACCGACAGGGACTGAACCGAACAAGTCCCCTCTCTTCCATATCGACATCCCACCAAAGGGGAAGAATACAGGTCCGAGTGTGGCGCAATGGGCCAAGGGTCTAAGGAATGAAGCAATCTACAAGTAATGCGTGCAACATGCAACAGTTCAACTGCTTCAACCTTTCCAGATTCTTACACTGACGCGGCGTTGCGGTTCAGTGATGGGCACAGGTGATGCAGAGTGCACGCCTGGGTCGCCAGGATACAAGTCCAGAACGTTCAACACCTTCAAGATCAAGGACAGAAGGAAATCTGTGGCAGCAGTCTAGCCTAGAACAGCCGTGCGTGCTGACATGAATACATCAGATGAAAGATGGTGGGTACGAGACTGCCAACCTTGAGCACTTTACGTAAACTGAGATCCAAACATCTCTGAAGTTCAAGCCCACTGCTGCTACACCTAAGTCGTGGGCGGTGGCAGCTGACAAGCGTCCGCAAATCACATGATTGCACAACGGTTGTCTTTTTCAGTGAGGTGGCGGAAGCCCGACTTTGAATGCTGTGGCACGGGAACCAGGGAAGCGAAGGTGCCACGGCTTGGCAGAGACAGCCTGCAGACACTGTGCAAAGAAGGATCATAGGGTGCACCAAGGTACTCAAGAGCTTCGATCTTAGATGCTGTGCAGGAGCTGCAGCGGCCAACGCGGAAAGAAGGAGCTCTTCCCCAACCTGTGCGAAATTCACTAGGTTTTCGACCTACACAGGTATCCGGTCCGGCCTGGCAGCATAGGCAGTCTTCTCTCGAAGACAGAGCTCCTGTCACGTTGAGCTCACCGATGCAGCATGCAAAAGAAGCAGCAAAGCTTCTGGTCCACTGCCTGCTCTCTCCAGCTGCTCACAGGCATCAAGGTGATGTCCGCTCCATCCTGATGCATTAGATGCGAGCTGTTCATCAATGTTGAGGTCTCAGGGCATCCGAATGGTTCTGTCAACAGACAAGGCTCTGCCGGCAAGTCCAGGCAAATGACACTCTGTTCTGGCATCTCCAGTCGCGCTGACCGAGCCAAGCCCCAGAGGCCTGCATGTGTTGGATCAAAACTGTTCCTCAGCTATCAGCACTACACGTATCATCGCGCCATCTGCTATGCGCCATAAATGACGCACGGCTGAAACGTGTGCCGACAAATAGTTCAAATTAGTTCCACCCGGCAACCCTCTGGATCAGCCGGTTTGCTGGTCGAGCTCGGGTGGCTGAGCCGCTTGAGCAGCCAAGACGACGCTGGTATTCGACTTCGATGCAATCTGCAGTACTTGCAGTGCGCTATAAAGTGCTTCCAATTGACCATCCTCCGCTAGGAATGCGATGTAGCCAAACTTTCCGGAGCCTTGTCATGCACATGCACGGGAGGATGATTTGGAGTGGAGATACTGTCAGGATTGCGGCCAAGGCGCCGAGCAGGGATAGCGCCCTCGTCGAGTCACGAGCAAACTGACACATGTCTTCCTTCCAAGACAAGGCGGCCAGGAGCTGATCCTGTCGCTGCCCGGAGCACCAGACGATTGCATTCGCAGTCTCTGCATTCTCCTTCTTTGGCAAGTCAGGACTAGGGCTTTCCATCTCCATGAAGGCAACGCGATACATATGCTCAAGCTGCGGCGGCTGCTGCTGCTTCGATTCTGGCGGCTCTGGCTGCCGACGCGCTCTGCAGGTCAGGCGGCATAGCCGTGCAATGAGCACACCATCGTCCGTGGAAATCTCCACATCACCAGACACCGCTTCAGCAGAGATAGTCCGAACCAATACAGTCACCCACACATCCGACGAAGGCCAGGTGGTCGCTATGACGCAGCTGTCAATGCTGAAAGGCAGAAAGCATTGTTGGGAGTCTGAGCTCGAAGCTAAGAGTAGCAGTTGGATAGCACCATCCAGGATGCCAGGGTGCAACTCCAGGGAGCGGTCCCAAGTCTCCAGGTTCAAAGATAAACGCCCCAGCACACGCAAACCTTGGTGTGGACATATATCGTTATGTGTGCTGTCTAGCAGACGATGTCAAAAACCCCGCACGCCCCTGTATCCCAAACAGGACTGGCCCTCTTGGGATTGTCCCGAAGAAGAAGCGGCTGGCTCAGAACAAAATCACCCTGCCCACGCTTCTACACTGCGACCCGGAGTCGCAACATACTGTAGTACACTGCAGTAGCCTTCAGGATTCACAGTGCTTCTAAATGAGAGAAGGCCCTCAGTCTCAAAGTTTTCGGAATGGCCCCGCCATGAAGCCGTCACCGCTCGTTGACCAAGAGGAGATGGCACGGAAGCTCGGGCCGTACTCGAGCCCAAGCTTCTCCAAAGTCCTCCGCTTCAGCGAGCGCAGAATCGCCGCACGCGCTACGACCGTTGTTTTTTTTGATGTCTTTTGGCACAACACCAGCAAAGCCCCTTTTTAGTCCGGTCCTGTATGCATCAAGTGCAGAGTGTTGGGATTGACATCTAGACTTCCATTCCACCAAACTGTGTTGAAGAATGCTGCCACGGGCTCCGGGTCCTCCCACCACGCCTCTGCTGCGACCCCAACAAAAGCAGAGACTTCGACTCCGACACGGTGCCTGGGCCTATGTTCTGGAGACTCAAGAGTTTCCCCGCAGCCGCTCGGGTTTGAAGTGGCGTGTGGTGGATGCAGAATTTACATGTATTTGGCATCAGCTCTCTGTCAACGATGCGGATTCCAACCCGTTCACCCCACAGTCCTAGAGATTCGGCAGCGGCAGTTCATCTGCTTGAGAAAACACTCATGCTGGCTGAAGCAATCATACTCTCGAACAGCACACACATCGACGGCGACGTAGATGAAGAGACTGCAAAGTGCAAGGCAAGTGCGAGACACTTGACGATGCGCAAATCATGGATCAATGATTCGATCTGTGATGATCCAAGCAAGCGAGCAAGCAAGCAAGCAAACTTCAGCCAAAAAGCGCGTGCTGCGGGATTGTGCATGTGACGCGTGGCCGTCTCTGCTGCGGCTTGACAACTTGGCCCCTGTAGGAAGGATCTGTACTTCTGCAAAGGATTCCGGCGAAGCTGGCAACACGAAGGCGCTTTCAAACACCGTGTCCTCGGCTGGTTGGCTCTTGTGCAGATTTCTGCACTCTGGACAGACGTGGAAACGAGGCGACGAGCTGAGGCAAGAGTCGTTGAGTTCCACGAACATCTCTTGCGCATAGGCCCCCCTCGGTCGCAGGCATGAGCAAAAATGCCCAAGCGTTCGCGCTCTCTGGCCTTTGAGCATCCCACTCCCAACCTGCTAAATTCCACTTCTGGAAGGGGCTGGACACGGTTGCAGTTGACTATCCGAACTTCGTGGTTTATCACCTCGCAAGCTTTGCTTAGAATCTGATTGTCCCCGTCGTGCAGAGGTCTGGCCTGTGTCGGTGAGCAAGTAATTATGCGCCCACAATGTTCCTAAATCGTAGCATCACATTTCGACCGCAGTCGCTCAATACCTATTGGACCTATTGGGTAAGGAATCTGTGAGTTCGCGGTCAAGGAGCACATTGCCTCGATACTGCGCGGCTAGCGTGGCAGACGAAAGCAGCAGCAAATGTGAAGCTGCGGGAAGCACTGCTTGCCCAGATACCTCGAGTGCGACACCAAGCTTATGAAGCATGCATCTGTGTGTGTGTGCAACTCCTGTGCCAAAGGATTTAGGATTATTGAATCAGCGAGCCCAAGGGCAATTGGATGGCCTGGGCCAACGAAGACCCATCCAGTTAGCCGTGCAAACGTACCCGCGATGTAACAATCTGGTACAAACAGCATCCATCTAAGTAAGGATGACTGGTCTGCAAGTGTGTTTTCCAACAGTAATTCTGCCAAAGCGCTGTCAGACTGCCGGTCAGTGGGGGGGGAGGGGGGGAACTTGATACATCTGAATTACCCTGAATACACCTGTTTTTTTCTGACGTATGAGCCTCCAGTCCCAGAAGGTCCCACAAGGTGTAGCAACCCAAACATTCGTGATGCCCATTGGGCCCGCTTTTCCTGAAACTAGCCTTTTCTGAAAGATGCTCCATGAAAGACCCCAGACTTTGGAGCAACTTGTTGTGTTGTTGTGGCTGTTTTCTTCGGCCAGTCGTCGTCGTCGTCGTGTTGCTGNNTGCCGTTTGTTCGTCGTCGTCTCTGCACGGGTAGGGGTTGTGGTGTTGGCTGTTTTCTGCGGACAGTCGCCGTCGTCGTGTTGCCGTCTTGTTGCTGTTCGTTTGTCGTCGTTTTTGTTGCCCCATGTAGATGTTGTGATGTTGGCTGTTGTGTCGTTCGGTCGTCGTCGTCATTTTTGTGTTTTGATGTTGGTGCCTCTCGCTCGTCGGCGTTGCCGGTGTAGTCGTTGTTGTTGTTGTCGTTGTTGTTGGTGTTGCTGTTGTTGCTGTTGTTGTTGTCGTTGTTGTTGTTGTTGCTGTTGTTGTGGTTGTTGTTGTTGTTGTAGCCGCTACGATACACAGAAAGCATCTTAGCTGCGCTAACCAGGCTTCGGGCCCAACTCTACAGGTTTGCAACAGGCTCCTTTGCGAAGCGTAAGGGACGTCCTTCTGCTTGAGCCATTTGAGTGTGCCTCGGAGCTTCGTGCCCCTGTGGACTGCCGGGTCCCGCTTCCCGGGCCTCCTGTGACAGCAAGTTCTGGACGAGCTGGAGGTAAGCGGTAGGGTTTCCACCTTTCCGCGCGGTGGAGGGAGCAGTACTTGGGTTACACCGAGTCTTGCGAAACAAGCGGATGGCGCGCCGAAGTGTATTTCTCCCGCCGATGCTTTTTCGTTTACAAGAGGACCTGCCGCACGAAGCAAGCCAAGGAGCAGATCCAGTCGTAAATTGGCCGTTTTCTGGACTTGCGTACTTTGAAGGAAGCTTTCGAGGCGAGGCCTCGCTCCTTGCCTTTTTTCGACTTTTCAACTTCTGGACAAAACGCCCAGGGACAGCTGAAGGTCTTTTCCGCGCAGTTTGCTGGAACTATGTGTTGCGCTTCTGTCGCAGTCTGCCCCGGAAACTACACCTTTTTCCAAAGGCAGGGTAGACTGCCACCGGTTGCGACAAAGCCAGTACGATCGAGTTCCTCCGTCACCACAGAACCCTTTTTCGCAACGCTGCTGTTAAGCTGCCAGCGCCTGGGAACAAGTCAGACACACAAGAGGATGGGCGCCTCTTCACGGCCTACAATTCGTCAGCATCCTCCCGATGCTGGCTCCGATGAGCACCATAGGGACTTCTCTTGCTATGGGGTGCCCTTGAGAGCCCGGGATGGCTATCCCCTTTTGAGGGGACAAGCCGCCGGGCCCGACTTGTCTTCAGCAAGACGCAAATTGGGACACTGCGGGCTCAGGTTTGGAAGAGCAGGCCGACGTCTTCAGTCCCAATACGGTGTTTTCCCTGGTACGGCTCCACGTCACATCTGGGTACAGTCGTTGAGCGGACGCGCTTGCTATGCTATGGGTGTCGGGCTACGGCTACGGCCCTCCCAGTGTGTTCGCGACTGTCCTGCCACCGACGGGGTCAGGCAGTGCTAGGAGTGACGGCTTCCGTGCTTGACGACGAACCATTACGGCCCATCGCTGGTAGTCGGGGGAGTTACCTAGTGTGGGACGCCACTGGACGGGAACTCTGGGAGAGGGCTCTTCTGAGTACGACCCACCGGCTGCCAGTTCGTGAGCATTGGACGCACTGGCCCACACTGAGGGTGACGGAGGTTACATGACAAAGACCTTGTGAGCCTAGCTGTCACATGACGAGCCGCGGGCACCGCCCGTGCCAAAACCAGGGCACCGCACTTGGGAACTGATAGCAAGGGCAAGTGACCTGCCTCCTTGAAGCAAAGGCTGAAGAGCTGCCACTGCAGTGTACAGTGTGCAGTGACATGCTTTAACTTAGGCCCTACTCTTTTGACTTTTCTAGCAAAAGCTCCTCGTTTTCCTTCTCTGAGGATGTCAGCAGGTCAGCTACCAAGGGGCGGCGCTGGCTTACGGCACGTTTCGAAGTTTCTGATGCCCCCGCTATGAGCAGAGCCCGCTCGCTCAGCGTCCAACAGAAACTGTTGTAGTTGTGGTTGTTGTTGTTGTTGCACGTCTGCAAGGGAGTGCGCCCAGATCTGCTTCGTAGTTGACATTCAGCTTTCGTTTCTGTAAGTTACTGGTAATTACATACCGCTGGTGTGTGTGTGTGTGAGAGTGCCAAAGGATTTTGGATTCTCGAAGCAGAAGCAGGGGGGCTCAAGGGCAACTGGATGGCCTGGGCCAACGAAGACCCATCCAGTTAGCCGTGCAAACATACCTGCGATGTAACAATCTAGCACAAACAGCATCCATCTAAGTAAGGATGACTGGTCTGCAAATGTGTGTTCGTGTGTGCGTGTGCGCAGTAAGCGAAACCCACACACGAATATGTTGATTCTGAGGAGTCGTTTGGCTTCGGGAATCGAGCCTTCTGAATGTGCCAAACCACTACATAGCTCCGCAGCTACGGGCCGCATGATCAAGGAACCCAGCACAGTATGCAACACATGTCTAATGTCTAACGACATTACTGCAAAACTCGCAACTTCACCATGCTTTGCAGGAAACGGCGCATTGGAAGCAAGTTTGTGCACACCAGTATGCGGAATGGACCTGGCTCATGAAAACACCAACAAATGAGCTCAGGCTTGCCCGGGCACGCGATGTTGGCGAAATAAGCGGATCACCGGGGCAGCTGTCGCGGCTTTGTCGTCCCAAAGTGCTATTCGGGATCGGAATACCTGACTGGAGTGTATTTAGGACTGCAGCACGGCATCCCGCAGCGAGAGCGGGTGTCATCTACAAAAAGTCTCGCCTCCGAGCCATTCTCCATCTGTGCAGAGCCCAGCAGTGGGTGCAAGCAAGGTCTCACCTAGGCCACAAGTGCAAGCAGCTCCAAGCAGGTCATTTTGGTGGTGTCCTAAGGTTGGCACCCACGGTACCCGCTGCAGTTGCAGGTCGGGTGGTTTGAAGAACGTTCCCTGCAAGCTTGAATAACAGCTGCAGGCAATAGATGCCCGGAGCATCAAGCATCCGGGAAAACGCAACTCCGTCTTCAGTCACAGCTACGGGAGCGTGACCGCAGAAACAAACAGTCGTCTTTGCGGCTTCAGCAGCTCTTCGCAAGATCGCACGAGCGGACGCGGAAACGAGGAAGCTCATTTGGAAATTGCGAGATGCAGCTTTGGGAGCGAGGCCCCGCGAAAATCATGAATCTTTCAAAGAGCAGAGCTTCTCGAAAGCTGAAAGTCTGGGCATGACAGTTCTTGAATCAGACCCTGCAAACATCGAGCTTCTGAATCCATGACGAACCCTTCTTCTGGCTTTGGTATGTTTAGTTTCTTCTGTGCCACCCTGCCATATGCTCGAACATTTCCCAACTGAATGAAGACATGGCCACCCTTTTCATGGCTTCCACCACCCCGAAACCCCTTCCAGGTGCATCTCGTCTAAGGCTCCTCCAGAAATCACGTCCTCTGCTCTCCGTTTCTCGCCCACCCTTGCCTCGTGAGTCACTCTCCCTCCAAATCGGCTGTTCAGAAAGTTATCAGAATCATCCAGGGATAGGAGCATCGGCAGCACCACGTGTCGCTGGCTGATCCTACGATTCAGACAGTTGCCGTGAGATCGGACGGTGATGCCGGGCCTAGTGAGACAGAGGCACTGATGGCACCAACGCAATTCCAAATCAAGCAACAGGAAACCGAATGGCAATTGTGCTAGCCAGGCAGCTTTGTTTGGCAGCTCTGCCCCACCCCTGGCCTTCAAAGATCGCAATGCCGACAGCATGCTTTCCGTCTCGCATCGGTCTGGCCTGCAGTGCTCGGCTGAACCCATACATCTCACCCTTCGTGACTCTGAGGACAGGTCTCCAGGCTTGGGAGCCAAGCCGCTGCGGACTGGGGCAATGCAGCTCTTGCAGCGGCTGTTGCGTGGCCCTTTCAAAACTGCCTGGCCAATGCAGCTCTGCCCCAACGGCAGCAACCTGGCAAAGCGCTTTATTGCAACACCGACCATCAACGATTTGTCGGGACATGCTCCATCGCACCACTTTGAAGTGGTGATTCTTTCACTGAAGAAGCATGGCTCGTTTGTTGAATGGAGGTCACAGCTGCATCCGTATCATCCATCACCATTCGCCTAACTTGCGTAGCACCACACACGATGCTCTTTGCTCGCCACCGGAAGCCCTCCTGGAACAGATCCTAAAGATCTTACAAACTTGGCAGAGATCACAAAGGCCGCGGACCTCAGGTCAAGATGGGTAGCTTGAGAAGAGGCCACAGCCGGACTTGTACAAGCCCTTAGGGTTGCACCGATCTCCAGGTAGACAGTGCAGGACAATTCGGCAAGCGATCTCATCTGAGCCGAAGATCATGTTGGTTGAAAAGGAGGGAGCATGCGTGCCTAAAGGCTATGCTTTGATCTGCCTGAGGCTTTGGCCGCAAGGTCAAATTTCACAGGTCGCGCTGTGTCGTGACCTTGTTATTGTTCCGACATGAAAGAGGACATTTGCCCTCCCCCTCGGTAAACCGTATGCTCTCGAAAACAACCGCTACCACTGCCGCTACCTGCAACTAGGATGCATCTTCATGGCAAATTCTGGACAGGTAGACTAGATTCGACTAGATACATCTAGATGCCGAATACTAGGCGTGAAAGGTTGGTCGTGAGGAGTCCGGAGTGCTGCAGCGACCGTGTTTCCGAATGTGCAGTGAAGGCATCGTGCACAGCATTCGCAGCCTGATTTTGCAACTTAGTCAGTGGTGCTGGGCTTTGGCTCTGTGTTTGTCATTGCTTTAATTGGTCTCGCGTCGGCAAAAGGCTCAGTTGAGCCGTCACGCCTAAAATGTTACTGTACAGTCGGACATTGGCAGCAAACGCAGCACTTCTTGATACTGAGCACATGTGCATGAGGTCGATGTTGAGGTCTGCACTCAACCAATAGGCTGGCGTTGCCACTTCAAGAGTTTCCCGTGCTCCACTTAGGCATGAGACCTTGGTTAATAGCTTCGACCAGCAACTTGGTTCAATGATGCGCAAGCCCTGCTCGCGAAACAAGTTCGGACACTTGCATCAGTCGAAAGTAAGACATGTGCGAATATCACGCCTTCTGCGGGGCTGGAGAAGGCGCAAGTCTGTCAACCGCGCAACAGTGCTGTAATTCTGAAAAGATGTGGCGGGTGCACGTAAATCTCAGTGGTGACACTCGCCTGGAGTTCCTTTTCCAATCCTGGCGGTGCAGCAAATTGTTGCGGAAGCATGCTTCTCTTGCTTGCGACAGGCGCATCCTGGCAACACGGCCGCCAACAGCTCCGAGTGCATCGCAAGGAGCCTATAGTTTTGTCGGGAACAGACCTTCTGTGTCTGCTTCACGCGGGAGCAAGACAGGGCTACAGCTTCACCCTTTTTTTCTGAAGTGCGATGACGCTCGCTCTCTCTCTCTCTCTCTCTCTCTCTCTCTTGCACGTTTCTTGTCGTTGCAGCTACTCCCTTCGTGCACTTCTGATGCCTCCCGTCCCTTTTCATTCTGCCGCTGGCCTGCCGCATTTGTAATAAAGTGTGTGGCCGCTCGCCTATTCCTGCAACCCTGCGCGGCACTGCCCCATCGCCATCCGACAAAGCCCGCTCCAGACAGCGAATCTCCGAACCGACAGTTGTTGATGAGAGTTGTCCCTGGCTTGATTGCACATTCTTCCAATCTTGAATGTGTCAGCTCCCGCTTCACCATCCTTATGACTTGGGCGCCTGACACAGAACTGAATCACATTTAGTTTGCATTTTCAATCAACAACTTCAAAGCACAAACATCAAAGCCCTGCTGCGAGTTCTGCTGACACACTTAAACTCTTACCGTTCTCTAAACGCGGCTCTGCCCGAGATGCACAGTTTCTTTCCACAGCGCATGCAGCAGTCGATCGTTTTATTTGAATTGATCGCTCTTGGAACTCAGCGCTGCGTAAGCCCGGCAGTTGGAAAACCACGCGTAGCAAAGCGGAGTGGCTCGACTGTTGCAGTTTTCGCAGACCTGATCCGATCTCGAATGGCTGACGAGACTGCAGTTGCAGGATACGTGTCAGAGGAACACAGTGCAACCAAGTACACTACTGCTTGTAAGCTGCAGCAGTTCAAGCGTGACCAGTGGCCAGTGGGGCACAGCTGGAAGTAACATCACTTTAAGCAACACTTGCTTCGGCATTGCATAGGTCCGACAGGCTTCTGAAATTGTGTTGTGCGAGGTGTGAAGCAGCGCACTGGACTGATGGAACTCCGGGCAGGTCTTTCGTAGTGAGGACTGCTCAAAGCCTGCACGGTTGCGCTATGCAGGAACATTTAATTGGAAAGGCGTCTTCCACTTCTTTCCGTGGCGCGCGGAAACCTCTCGCAACCGAGAGGCTTCAGGTGGAGTGCCGGCTAATTGGGAACGTGGCACGAACTTGCATGCATTGCCTCTGTTGTGGCAGCAGTGTCAGCAATGGAACGGCGAATGCCTGATGATTGGAACCTCAGAGCTCGCGGTCATGAAGCAGACAAGATTCTGACGGAGCAGGGGCACCCAGCCTTCGTAGTCACCTCAATGAAGCCAAAAGCGACGGCAGCGAGCATTGCCAACCGTCCGTTCTTCAGCTCTGCTTCTGCTGTCCATCGTCTACCTTGCGGCAGCCAGCAAGCCATCGGCAACTCAAAATCCTGGCGCGGGCAATTCAAAGGAGCAGAGGCTGAGGCTACATGCTAGTCCAATGCACCGCCCATTCCCTTGCTCAGCCACTCCCTTCGTATCCTAAGCCTTAAGCCTTGGACCGCATGTAGTTGCTAGCAGCCACAAGCTGGGAAATTTCAATAGACTGATGTCGGTGCTTTCCATGACTGGTCTGATCACGTGAGAATCGGTCCTTCAAGTTCAAGGGATCGAAGCCGTAGAAGCCGGGAGGGCTCTCAGGCGCTTTGGAGAGCTCCATGATCGCCACGGCCAGCGAGATGGTGCCGAGGACTAAGCTCATGGGAGCATCTGCTGCGCCTGAAAGCAAAAGGGCGAATCGCGGGGGACGTCCCCCTAAGCCGAAAGCCGAGTGCCTGAAAGAGGAAGGGGCAGCTTGAGAGCCCAGAGCTCCGAGAGCGGCCACAGCACAGTGGCCAGCATGGCAACTCGCGCATGCTTGAGCTCGGCTTCTTGCATCCATTTAAACGTGGCCAAGTCCTGAGTGTGTCGACATCGAGCGTCGCTGTCTCTACGAAGGCGATGACGTCTGCAGGCCGATGGCTGAGTCAGAGGCCTTCGCAAGACAGAACGGGTCAAACCCGGCGTCGCCGGGCACATTGACAATGAATTCCCGGTATCTCGGTGGATCTAGGAACCTGGGTTCTGAAGAGAGGAAGGCAGCAAATAAAAGCTTATCTTATGGAACTCTGCTGCCCTGCTGTGCAAGAGGCGGGAGTGCTGCCGGTTGGTCCATGGCTGCGCATGCCTCCGCAGAGTATGATTCAAAAGCACGGTTGCGGCATCTCGGGGGTAGCACAGTACGGATGAGGAGGCGTTGGAACACCCCGTTTTTTGTCACTAACGAAGGCTTTAAGTTGGTCGTGGTCTGTGGGTAGTCTTGGATACAGTACAGATCGCGAGGAGAACAACATGAACTACACAGCCTTATCAACAAGTCCCTCTTCTACAGAGTCTGGGAAGTGCTAAGCTCCTCCAGGATATTCCTGACACCTCCCTATAGCACCCTCAGTATCGCCCCCCAATCCCTTCTTGCGAGGCAGGGGGCGTAACCACGACAAAAGCGCAAAACAGTATAATCGGTAACCATAACAGTGCCATAACAGCGCATGTCGGTAACCATGATAGCCAACTCCTTTCAGAAGCAGGAGCGGTTCTCAGGGATTCCCTCCATTCTCCGCGCTTCTGTTTTGTTTGAATCCCCGCCGCTCAGCGGGAATCGTTGATTTTGGCTTCAGGCTGTGATTGTGCCCAAACGGTAATTCCCGTCCGTTTCGGTTTCCCTCGTCCCAATGCTTTGACGTTTTCAAGCCATAAACTTGCCAAAACGGTGACTTTTGCTTAAGTCCGCGCCACTCGCGCCCAAACGGTGATTCCCCTCCATTCTCCGCCTTCCGTCTTTGCCCCGGGCGGGAATCACTGTTTTAGCGTGTTCAGGTCGGGAATGTGCCAAAACGGTGATTACCATTCTCCGTCTTTCCGTTTTGTTTGATGCCCCGCCACCATTGCCCAAACGGTGATTCTCCTCCATTCTCCTCCTTTCCGTCTGTGATCCCCAGCCCGAGCGGGCTCACTGTTGTGGCGTTTTCAGACCGCGAATGTGCCCAAACGGTGATTCCCCTCCCTTCTCCGCAGAGCCCGCCTTTCTGTTTTGTCTGAAATCAGCGGCAATCGCCGTTTTGGCGATTTCATGCAGTGATTCTCCCAGCCCCGGGAGGGAAGGACTGTTTTGGTGCTTTCAGGCCGTGAACATGCCGAAACGGTGATTCCCTTCATTCTCCGCCTCCCCCCTTCCGTTCTCCAGTTTTCCCAGCAAAGCCGATGTGATCAAACTGTGACGTTCCAGAGAAGGCTGGGTTCCACTCGGCGCGTCGTTCTGAGACAGGCCCCAGCAGTTTGGAGAAGGCATCAGTAGGCCATAAAAGCTCCAGACCGTGGATCCCAAACAAGCCTAGATGCAACCATGTCCCGACACCCTGAACCTTAAACCCCTAAACGCATCAGAATGGTCAGAACATGTCAGAACTGTCGACCAGCTTTATCAGTTACCCGACAATAACTGTCGAGTCATATCACTGTTACCCGAGAGCTGTCGCTGTTACTAGATATTTGTCATGATTGCAATCATGTCTCCCCTTCTTGCCCGCAGCTGGGTGGGCAAGTTAGCGCACTGTCATCTATGTCTAACTTGTTGTGGAAGGGAGCGAAGCCTTCGTTGACCTCTTTGAAGCGCGGTCCAGTTCTGGTTCCTCACTAGACCGACCACCACGTGCCTCCAGCAGCTGCCGCACGGAGTCATCTGAGAGAGTGTCCAAGGTCAAGCTATCTGTGGTCACATCCTGAGACTCCTGCAAAAGCAGGGAATGTGTGGGTATGTGTCGGTCTACCTGTCTCAAGTCTCAAGTCTCCCGAAGCTCCTCCTTGTCGGCACGCCGTGTCGTCCACATACGGCGCCGCTGAATGGCTTGAATGGCCCCAACACCCGCAAAGCTCAGTGTCGCCTCCAAGCTTGCCGAACGCTGTAAGGCAGCAAGTTCTGCAAGAGACTGCGCCATGTAGAGATTCATTTTCGCCAAGGCTCTTGACACAAAGATGTCCAGGATGAGGGCTGTGCTCGGTGTTGAAGGGTTCCTGCTGTGCTGTCTGCTTCTGAAAAGACCTGTTTTCCATCAGCTTCCGATGCAGAGGGGCTGGCGCGGTGATGATCGCACTGCACCCGCTGGCAGGGAGAGGTGCGCCTGCAACTGAAATTCTTTTGAGGCGACTTGTGGTGCCAGTGCTGCTTGACCCTCCAACCTCTCCCACTGAAGTGGGAGCCTGCCGCCATATTGGACCTAGAGAATGCCAACACTAACATGTCAGCTTGAAATCGACTGAGCTGCTGCTGCAGTACCTTGCCTGCCAGAAACTCCTGCATCTCAAGGGCACCGATCACATCTGCGCTTGAGCACTGAACTGCGCAAAGAGGTCTCAGAAAGGTGCAGCTCTGTGCAGCTTGGCACTTGTGGGGGGGAGCCAAGGCCGACACGATGGGAGCTGCCGGCTTCTGCTGGGAAAGAGACTGCACAAATCCTGCCACGCCATGCCACGCAAGGCTCGCAATCCGGACTGCTAGAAGCGTCTCACTTTTCGCCTCCACGAGGCCGGCACGGCCAGAGACAACCTGAAAGACGGAGAAACTCAGCGCAGCAATCTAGTTCAGTCAGGAGAAGTCTCGGACGGTTTGATTTGGGCCGTTGATTGCGGCGATTGTCAAACCCTGGCTGCGGGCACTTTGAATCTTCTCCTCGGAGCTCCGGCAAGGATGGGCAGACGTGACAGTACTCAGAACTCGCAGTGAGAACCCGACCATGGCAATCCTGACCTTCGAGCCAACGCTTCTTCCATCAGCGAAATGAAAAGACTCAGCCGGCCCTCTCGGCCTCGTGACTTGATGCAAAGACAGCGGCCATTGAGCCCTCGCCAGGGGCGCACCTTGCTACCAACAGCTACAATGCAGCAACAACCCCCCGTTCCTGATCTAGTGGGCGGCTCTGAGGAAGCTTCATTTCATCAAGCAGCCGCCCACGTGCCATGACGACACGAATCCTGAGGGCAAATTCGGGCGACAACACCGGCTGGCAGCCTAGCTTCGTTCACTGGAGGCAAGCATGGCTTGCAAGCCTGGGTTGACATGCTGATGTCGAAATAGTACAGTGGTAAGCTGCCGGCCCATCTTCCAAGGACAAAACCTGAGTGGTGGAGCGCGGCTGCAGACGAGCATGCACCACAAACGGTGAAAGTCACGTGGTAGCCGAGTGGACAAGCAGGAACAAGTACAGCTCCGAAGAAAGCGGATGCATGCAGGAACGACACCACGAAAAGCTGCCAGAATACACAACACACAAACAAGGTGTCCTGGTCGACAAGACCCTAAATCATCAATCCAATGTCGATAACTTTCGAGAGCCACGGCAGGAGTGGACAAAGCGATCCTTGAGCTGCTGACGCCGGCGGCCACTGCTGCCGCGTATTCACCCAAGCCTCGGCCACGAGCTTACGGACTGGCTTGAAGCAGCTTTAGTCCTTCCACGGGGATTTAGAAATTTAGGGAGGCTCATGGTCTTCTGATTGGACCTCTACTCAAGGCTGCATGCGACCCGACACGTACATTCAAGCGAACCGAGCATTCGGTCCCTGACTATGTCCCAGAACTGCGTACGGGTGCACGCCCCATGATCGCCAGGCTTCAACCTCTTGGGTTCTGAATCAGGAGATGAGCTTCGCATGTCTGCGTCATGCAGTGTCATGCAGTGTCATCTGGCATTGCTGCCAGCCAATCCTCAGGCCCAGGCTAGCGCATACTGTATGCAAAACGTAGCCGTGAAGGAGGTTCGACCTTCGTCCCCGAAGCCATCATCAATCAGCTTTGCACAGCGACATTTTCCTGCTAAGGTGACTGCAAGTCTCTGCAGAGGTCGTGTCCTTTAGTATACTTCAAGCTTCGAGCATTGCGAAGGTGCTGCGTTGGCCTAGGGCTGCTCGCCGATTCAACTGAGAGGCTCCGAACAGGATGTCCAGAAGCCCTTCATTCAGATCTGAGCACAGTGTCGCCTCGCTGTGGCAACCCCAAAACCAGCGTGTGCAGAGCTGTCTTGGACGGCACTGCTCTGGGCTTGGAGCACAGCGATCCAGCGCCGCTCGGAAGGCTGTATTGGCAGCATAGAGCTCTCTGCCCAAGCCTGGCCTATCCAAGGCATCGCAATCTGCTGCTTGCACGTTTGTGGACGAGTGAGGTGTCGATATGTGAAAACACTTGCTCGTTTTGCCTTGCGACCCTATTCGACCACAGGGGCAGATCCGATCAATAGTTTAAACTTTACATGCCACGAGAGCGGCAAGATCACCACTGAACCTCACGCATCCTACGCGTATATGGGATCTCGTATGCGCTGGCATACCTCGCACGACGCACTTTGCCAACCCAGATACATCCAATGCCTGGCAACAGAGCAACCCAGATCCATCCGCCCGAACACATAAAAAGGCGAGCAGAAAGGAAACTTGGCCGTGAAGCGAGAGCCGCCAATGCAAGTCCCGATCGCAAGAAACAACTGACCTGGGTTCCTTGCAAAGCCGTCTTCAAGTGCTTTCGGGAGGAATAACAATGCCCTGAATTCTGGAAGTGTCGCCCTTCCCAGATGGATAAACAATAGGTCACACATGAAAATATTTGAAGGTCCAGTGCTCAAATACCCCCACAAACGCAATGATGATGATTCGATGATAATGATGATGGTGCTGATCATGGTTGTGATGTTGCACGTCGCGTCTATTGTATTGATTGATGATGCGATGCAGAAGGGTTCGTGGATGTTGCTACTGCTGTTCATGACACCACGGTGTCACTGGTGGTAATGGTGATTAACATAACGATTATGTCACCGGGCAGTAGATGCTGTGGACGAGTTCCAGGCATTGCAAGGCCCACCCAATGTGGCAGGAAAGAGCGGGACGGAATTATGGCAGCAGCAAGGATTGACTTGACTTGACTTGGCTTCCGCCTCAATCTGCTCTGACCCGTGAAGAGCATTGCAACCTGCTTGAAACGCGCAATGAGCTTGCTTCCGGACACCGAATCTAGAGGAATGCCTGCGGTTCTGGGACGAGTACTCTATGGCCTCGCCCTGATGTACCAGCTCCTGTCGAGAGGCGCTGCAGTTTCACCACTTGGCAGATCCTCTCAAAAGACGGAGCGCAAGGCCGGCCTTTCTTGCGACTTGCATGTTTGGGATTGGCCAACAGCACATGCGCGTTGCTCCCACCAAATCCGAAGGAAGATAAGCCTGGCAGTAGTTTCGCACTTTCGCCGGCTGTGAACACGTTCCAACGCGTCTTCACAAGCCCACCCTCATTGAGTTGGAGTTAGCCTTGCCATTCCTTGCCTATTAAGGTGTATGGCACTACATGAACGCATGCTTATCCCAGTCTTTACACCACTTTCCTAGGAAAACACCTTCTTGAGATTATGGGATCGTTAACTAATTCTTGACAGACTTACCTAAACAAAAAAAACAAAGCAGGATCACTGACTTGATTATGGCAACAAGAATGTCTACCAACTCAGTACGAGCGTTTGAAAAATAGATATCAAGCATTTTCTCGCAACGAGAACGCGGCTCAGCAATAAAGTATCCGCTGCACAGCGCGGACCAAAATCAACTGATATTCTGTCTACTTTTACTAGCGTCCTTATGAAAATATTGCGTCTTGTCACAATGTGAGATGGTTTGACGGATAAAACAAATAAATAAGGATCAAAAAATAAACCACAAAAACCGAAAAATAAATTAAGGTGGTAGTGGTAGTAATAGTAGTAGTAGTAGTAGTAGTAGTAGGAGTAGGAGTAGGAGTAGGAGTAGGAGTAGGAGTAGTAGTAGTAGTAGTAGTAGTGGTGGTAGCCGTAGTAGTGGTAG